CTTCACTTTGCTTTCCATGAACTGACACTTTTTGGAATTTTCTCGGTTCAAGTACAAACTTTGTGTGATACTGGACTTCAAACAAATGCTAGGCTGATGCCTGTGGTTCATATTGCATCTTATGGGTGATGAAAATTACTATGTTTATAGCTCTTTCTTAAGAATGAAGCACTTTTTGACAATGTAGAAATCAAACACAACATTGTATGGAAGTATAATATATTTCTACAAAAACCAAAAAAGAAAGAACATGCTACTTGCTAGCATCAGTCCTCTTTCATTTGTGTGTGCCATTGAAAAAATCTTGAATAACAATAATGATACTTTTGACATCTTCCATATAATTGTTCAGCCAGCAAAATAATGTGCCATTTGTGTCTGGCAGATTCCACATCAAGCTGTGCTCATGCTTTGTTCAAAATGACAACTTAAAGACATTTTTTTTTACTCTTATATTCTCGAAAACATTCTTTTTCAAATCATTATGTTAACAGCTTGTAGAAAGGATACGAAATACAATGATACTTTATATTTTTTATAAATTTTATACTTTATATAAAGGCATGTATAAATAAGCAGGCGGAAGTAGAAGTTCATGTCGCATCACAACAGAATAACACAGATAGTATTTGCAGATAATACATTACAAAAATTGAATTGTCTCAGATTTACCAAATAGAAACAATATTCATCGATCTTAATTTGTAATACAATTGTTTGTTAATCAATTAAATGGATAGATGTGTATTGCACAGTAATGGTATTCCACAACAATATAAATGTGTAGCATCAAATGTATCAGTTGTGACCACTGACACATAAATCCCAATTGCAATGACTAAAGAATCAAGACTATTCTAAGAGAGTTTGGGAATGTTAATGTTGATAAAAGTTTAAATGAAAATAACTGAGGAAATGGATAGATTTGTTATTTAAAACCATTTTACATGTAAGAACATCAAACAAAGCTACTTCAAAGCAAATCTTACTAAACATAAACACAAAGTTCATTGAAACGAGCTTGCTTTCACGTGCTTATAGCAATTTAGCTATATGGAAGCATAACTTCAAATGCTAATAATATGGCGCCAAATAAATTCACTTGAATTTCACAACGTCCAAGACACGCGAATGTAAATTCGATTAACATAGATATAAAACTTACATCTCCGGGTTTGTTGTATTTATAGCAGTTGTCGACCATCAARTTGAAATCATCAATGCACTCCTTGGCATTGTTATACTCATTATTTTCGAGTTTCTTTTTGATGGTGCCAAGATCCATCGGTTTCTTGATAATCGTGTAGTAGTCCTGAGAACGAAGACATCAAAACAACTTATAAAGTTGCTTGACAACATAAAATGCAACAGAAAAAAACTTCGATAGCGAGATATTGAAAATGAGAAAAAACTGACCGGTAGATTGAGCTTCACGGCGTCCACGGGTTCACGGAATGGCCAAGCATATTGATGCCTCCATATCCCTTTCATGACAGTTTTTAGAAGATACTGAAGTTGATTTGTAGTTCTGTTGCTTTTTGTCGGTGTAGGCTGTGGATTCGTTGGTTGCTGAGCCATAGCTCGCTAAATCAAACCAAAAAAGCGAAAAGGCATTCAGTATATCACATACAAACGTCTTATAACACTGAATTCAAGCGACTAATTCAAAGTCAAGCTGAAGTGAAAAGCGAAGCGATTCGAGAAAATGCTGACACTTCTAACGACGTAAAACCACCGTATTTACCACTGTAGGTTGTTCAAAGTCGTCGTATTTGTGTGAAAGTCTTCTTGGGCGCTTGTCGTGCCCCTCGGGGCTTGAGAGAGATCTTATTCCATGCACTGAATCGACGACTCCATAATCGCTAGGAAGACCAGACTGCTGAACCGCCTCACCAGGCCTGCGATGATGCAACAAATTTTAATGAATTTCCACTTTATAACAACATAGGAACTACCAATTTTACTACAAAAATACGCAATATCACTTTATTCAACTGATGTGATAAAAATTCGCAGGCAACTTGAGCTTGATTTTGAGAAAATCGACGGCGTCTACTCAGCGACATTTTAACACAGCCAACGCCATTTTGGCGGTTACGTCTTCACAATGCATCTCACATAAAATCCACGATTAACAACATCCCGATGAAAAAGAAGCATGCCATACCCTTTGTAAACGTGTGCAATGCTATTTTGGAAGTTTTCTGACGTCGGATGGTCTAGGGTGTCCATCCACGACAACTGATTCCACATAAATTATCGTCGTTCTTCTGGCTCTGTTCGTCCAGCGAACGAACAAACAGCCGCCCTTTTGAGCTCTTCATGGACCCCCAGCAAAGAACGAGGCTCGACACGTCACAACTCTAGTCACGTGCCTCTTCGTAATGGCGCCAAAACACGAAGGCACCGAGCGCTCTCCGAAAATTTCCTAATTTGGAAAATAGCTGAAGACGATGGAAAACATACATGAATCGACAAATATCCGAAGAGAATTTGAGGAAGCCGAAGATGTGGTTATATAATGTTCAAGCCGAAAGGCGAATAATAATTTAATAACATTTGCACCAGTTTAAAAAAAGAATTTTAATTTAATTAAAATCATAATGAAATTATTTCTCGTGTGAACTTAAATATTGACAACGAAAATAAAAAAAAGGAAAAAAAAATAAGAAAAATAAAAATAAAACAGGGGAAGACGAAAAAGAAAGAGAAGATAGAGAAAAGGCAAAAAAACAATGGTAAAATGTAAAAAAAATCGAATGATTATATAGGTCTATATAACTCAAGGCAGAACATATATTCTTAGTACGACATGAAAATACAAGGACTAATGACCGGAAGTAAATTAAAAACAATCAAAACATCATGATAATGAAGTAGTTTTAGCATTGTATAGTCAGGATTGAACTCTATTCAGAAGGAAATGAAAGCGGAAAGGGTTTCGTGAATCGACATCAAAGTCTTCTGTCCTTAGAACTTGACAGGAAATTCCAGTCTTAATCTTTGGCCACGGACTGTGACTTCCAATAAACCGCACTTTCAACGGTAACTGTGCTTTGAAATACTTGAAGTCAACACAGGAAGCCCAATAAAAACGCATCTGTGGTAGGGAATGGGTGAGTAGATCAACCATAAAAAAATGCCGTTTTTACTATTTTTTTACATTTACTAAAAATAAAGAATAGGACATCAAAACTACGACGTTTATTTTACTTTTTAGTCTTATATTTTCTCACTGGTTTATTGTGATGCCGATTTGAACGTATCTTACAAAAATCAAGGAGGAGTTAGTAATATACTCTTGCTATAGAGGTGTCAGTAATATAGAAGTCTTCGTGACTTTGCGGTGCATTGGCCGGCCCGGACCAATGCGGTKGCGGCTCGGAAACCTACTGAGGTGCACGTCCCARTCGACCTTCTGTGCACGTCCTACAAACCCCCGCGCAATCGATCTATGGCTCAGTATCACTGGTATGTTTATATTATGTGACCTTATCTTACAAGAATCAAGGGAACGCATGTCAAAAAGAGGTATTCGCATTATAGAAGTGKCCGTTGTAGAGATCATTCTAGTGCCCTTCCGGCCCAGACCGATCAAMGCCAACGGAGACCTACGAGGTACACGTCCTGAACCTGCTCATCGAGCGTTTGTGCACGTCCGAGAAATGTCCACACTATATGAATCGGTGCTTCCGTTCTCAACATCCTCCCTAGTTCATTTATATACTATTTAAACAATAGAGCACGATAGAGTAGTTGAATCGAGGGCATAATTATGCTGTGATAGTTGTCTGCCGAAACTGGATGTTCCGAAACTGCAAATAGTTATAAAATATCCAGTTTCCAAGGGCAACTATCATACCAAAATGCCCGAGAATTTAACTGCTCTATTACTTTTATTATTCGACAGCAAAATATTCTGAAGCGGCCGGTTCTTTTTACTGATAGGCCCTCCGCGGCGGGCACTCATGATGGCGACCGGGCGACACGTGGTCGACTTTCCCAACCTCGTTCCCAGGACTACTCTGCTCGCTTTTTTCTTTTTGTAGTTTTAGCATCTTGTAGACGCTGAACTCATGCATTTTAGCTTAAAAACTTAGATCAACTTTACATTTAAATTGTTTCTTCAATTTTTCTGTGTCAAAAAGTCACAACAAATGAGCAACCAATGAAAAGTGARAAAAATCTTAGCCAATCAAAATCCATATTTGACCGGCCGATGGCAGGGCTATCTCTGGTCGCAGAGTAGCCCTGGGAACGATTGCCATCCCACGGGGATCCCAATCTTTTGTCGGAGTGCCCATTTTTTACCAGTTTTCCCTCGCAATCTCGTTCGTAGAGGGCGCACTTTTGCCATCCATCGGATGTCAATGCTTGCCCTTGAAGACTCGATCTGGGCTCGAGATTGCAGCCGTTATGAGGCTGGAAACCACAGGGGGCCCAGTGTTGCTTTCACAGCGATGTCAAAACATTTTAATTGCGTGGTTCGCGGTTCGAGCCATCATGAAGCCGTATTTTCTTTTCGACTTCATTTCTTGAGACTTTTCAAGACTTTCTTTTTCTTTTCTTTTTTCTTTAAGAAGTATAAACAGTTTTATGAATAAAGATTGATTTTTAAAGCCATTTTTATATTTTTCCCCCTCGTCAATACTTCAGTCTATATACTGCAAGTTTTAATTGATTTGGATTCTTCGTTTATTCCCGTTTATTTATTTAATGTTTATTCCGATCTCTATGGTGACAAGGTAAACTTCACCCTTAGTTTAAAAAAAAAACATTAATAGCCTCCTGATAAAAAGCATTCATTTTATAAGCAGTATTCATGTATTACTGTATTTTAGCGTTTTGATTAGTTACATGTAGATAGAAATTTTAGGCCGCTTTTTATATTTTTCTATGTTTCTTTTCTAATTTACCTTTTTTTTTGAGTTCCTGTTTTGAAATAGTTTTCTCAATAGACATTTATATGATATTATTAAGGACCGCACTGAATCCTTGGCTCTAAACCCGTAAAAAATAAAAATAAATTAACAAGAGTATATTACACCATAGTTGGCATTGTTCTCTTAGAGGCGTCTATAATTTATTTTGCAATTGAGGTGTTTTTGATTACTAAATATTAGTTTTGGATGTTGTGTTTGTCACTATGGTCCCGGTTCCACTTTCCATTGTTTCACTGATCCAACTAACCTTGGCTTTCATCATGACTTTCACAATTGAGTGAATCGACGCGTTCCGTCAATCCTTCGCCTTGATCAAAATTATCAATATTGTGCACAAAGTAATAACCTAACATAAGGCGAACTAAATATTAATATCTTATTACTTCAAGATAAAAAGAAGACATAAAAGTGTGATTTACTAGTAAATTTGACAGTCTMCACAGCAGCGAATTAATATAAAGGGACTTTGAGCCAGCCAATCAGAAGCGACCGTTCAAATTTGCATATAGGTATATAGAAAGCGTTCTTGGGTTTKGCATCAACCTGATCAAGAKTCACGAAGTGCAGATATCTGTTTAAAAAAACGCAAAACTAGAATGGGGCGCTTGTTGGTTGTAAGTCTGACGCTTTTGGTTCTGTCTGGTGAGTACACAGTAACTTGAGCTTCAAAACTTTCGGATTTTCGGTGTTTTTATCCAGTCTTGAGTGATAGGTGACTTAATTCGATCATAAAGTTTGCAAGACTTGTACAAAAGGTTTCTGTCAAACTTTCTTCGCCAAAGATGGTCAAGGGAACATACTACATATGATTTTGGTGGTCAGTGGCGAACAGTTTATCTAAATGTCAAGTTGTTGAGTGTCAAGAGTAAATATATAGTCGAGGGTAAGGTAAAAAGTCGAGGACGCAGCCTCGAAAAAGACTACACTATCTTATATTTTATGCGTGATGTACGGCATGSTTTGAAATGTCTTTCTGTCTTTCCTTGCTTTTCTATCGAAAGACTCGAAACAATGCAGATTGAAACCGGCAATCGAAGTTTAGTAGAACAAAAACAAACAAACAATTCAAGTCGATCGATCGATCTTCATGATCACCGGAACTACTCCCGGTGAACTCGTACTACATGTACTACAATAATATTTCTCTTCGGTTCCATAACCTCGCATTATTCTAAAAAAATTGGAAAAGGGATAGGTTTTGAAAAGTTAATCGTAGAATCAAACGTTTTAGGCTGCAACTGACTGTTAATAAATAGTGTCAGGGTTCGTAGGGTAAAGAGCATAAAAGACCTAGTCCCTTGTCAAGTCTGGCCYTTGTACCCTATGCTTAATTAATTTTTAATTTTTACTTAAAAGTAAAAATTGGCTTGAAATCTGAGCATGGATCACAAAAAGAAATCGGAAAAAACAGCAACCAGAATAGATTGGAATTTTCAACAAATTCTGGTTTGCTTCAAATGCAGTTTTCATAGACTAATSTAATGACGTCATCATTATTCTAGAACCGTCAAATACGTCATAATTATGCATCAGTACCTGAAGCCAAACAAAAACAAYGTTCGTGTTAATCCCGGGGGGACTAACTTCTTGTTTACGTCAAAATTTCATAGACTAATTTAATATTTTTGATGGCGTCATTTTTATCTTTTTTCATAAATTTTCATTTATAACTGTTTTTCTTCCTATATTCGATTTTGTAAAACGCATCAAAACTTGATGGATATAATGCTCTATATAAATACTATTACTTATTATTATTATTATATTGTAGTAATTAAAAATTATCGAAAATGTTTTAAAAAAGTGTTCAAMTTTGTCAATATGTGCGTATGTTATGACAGTATAGCCGCATGGCTTCTATGCAAGTTTTAATTGATTTGGAAGAGTTTGGTTGCTTCGTTTATTCCCGCGTTTATTTTAATGTTTATTCCGGTGTCTCTATGGTGACAAGGTAAACTTCACCCYTTGTTTTGTTTAATTATATCTTGAGTTTTGTTTTCAGACTTGAGTGGACGTCCTTGACTACATGAAAATATATATATAWAAAAACACTCAAATAAAAAAACAGCCATTAATAGCCTCCTGATAAAAAGCATTCATTTTATAAGCAGTATTCATGTATTATTGTATTTTAGCGTTTTGATTAAGCTACATTAATTCGATCATAAAGTTTGCAAGAAGTACAAAAGGTTTCTGTCAAACTTTCTTCGCCAAAGATGGTCAGACAGGGAACATACTACATATGATTTTGGGTGGTCAGTGGCGAACAGTTTATCTAAATGTCACTATGTACAAGTTGTTGAGCATGTTGAGTGTCAAGAGTAAATATAAGCTTATAGTCGAAAAAAGTCGAGGACGCAGCCTCGAAAAAGCCTYGACTATCTTGTGCGTSATGTACTGCATGCTTTGAAATGTCTTTCTGTCTTTCCTTGCTTTTCGATCGAAAGACTCGAAACATTCACTGGAAAAATCRCACGCCATAAAGGTTGTAAATTTGATGTAAATATGATGTAAGTGTCCAAAATTCTGTAAATTTAATAGAATCATTTCCATCAAATTTACATCATTTTGGACACTGACATCATATTTCCATCAAATTTACAACCTTTATGGCGCGCGATTTTTTCMWGTGATTGCAGATAGAAACTGGCAATCGAAGTTTAGTAGAACAAAAACAAACAAACAATTCAAGCCGACTCACCGGAACTACTACATGCATGTATACAATGATAATTTCCTTCGGTTCCATAACCTAGCAATATTCTAAAAAAAATTGGAAAAGGGATAGGTTTTGAGTTTCGGGGCTAAAATGACTGTTAAAAAATATGCCAGGGTGCATAACGTAAAGAGCATAAGGTACAACGTCTGAGCATGGATCACAAAAAGAAATCAGAAAAAAACAACAACCAGAAAMGATTGAAATTTTCAATAAATCTTGTTTACTTCAAATGCTGTTTTCATAGTGCTGATGTGATGAATTTCATGACGTCACTCATTATTCTAGAACCGTCAATTACGTCATAATTATGCATCAGTATCTATCAATGTCAGTGTAAGTCCCGAGGGGGTGGGGGTGAGGGGGTGATGTAGTTTTCATAGACTAATGACGTCATCATTATTCTAGARCCGTCAATACACGTCATGATTATGCATCATTAGCTCAAGTCAAACATATCACGATCAGTATTCGTGTACATCCCGGGGGGRACTAGACGTTCCGCCAAATAGGGTCAGGGTTTGAGAGGTAACAGAGGAATCAAGTACCTCCCCCTCTGAAGTTATGCTTATATAAATTTAACTTTGACATTTCTTGTTTGATTTTTTTGGTGATTGTCAAACTTTTGTCAACACAGGTTGTCTCGTCGACGCAAAAAAGCGCACAGAGAAAAAGGAACAAAGTGGTTGCTCCAAGTCGAAGAAAACTTGCATTGATGCACTTGGAGCCTCTGGAAAAATTCGAGTGGCACTTAATGGTAGAAAGACCTCGGACTCGGACGCCTTCACCCTTTCATTCGATTATATCAGAGAATTGGATGTTAGCGGCAATGCAATCAAGGGAAAAGCGGGTCATTCTTATGAAAACTTCGCTAAGGCAAAGTTTGCATTTTCAGAACTCGAAGAAACAACCATCCAGGTAATGAAAATCAAAAACAAGAAGACTTTTTTTATGTTTTAGTRCTTTTTGTCCAGATTTGAGAGATTTTCTTGCCAATCCGGCAGGACTATATTTCTACCGYGCCACAATCCATCCTCGCTTTGCGGACACTGGTCCCACAGTTTAATATTACGACCTGGATGAAATGTCCCTCGCTATATATATCTGACTTTAGCATTCTCAATTTGCAAATATCGAGATTTAACTTTATTCAGCAATCAACCTTTTTGAAATAGTTGTTGTAATATATGATTTTGTTTTTCTTCAGGGAGTCAAAGCAACAAAGTTCGACTTCCAAGGAACTCTTGACGGGCCAAGCGCCATCATGACAGTAACAATATATATCATCAAAGAAGAAAAAAATATCACACTGTGTGATAACTCAACATATACCGTGCAGGAAGGCGTAATAAAGTATAATGTCGAGGTGAGCACGGTTTACCACTAGACGGCGCTGACCATCAAGATAATGAAAGTTAATAAAATACGGTTAACTTTGACTTTGAAGGTAGTGAGGGGGGAGGGGAGGGGAAGGAAGCCTCTTATTGTCGATACAACAAATGCACGCATGCCCAGGCGCGGATCCAGGACTTTGAAGTGGGGGGTGAATTGCTAAAATAATGTAATAAAATGGAAGCCAAACGCCGACGCCGGGAGCCCCTAGGGRGTTGGGGTTCATCCCCCCCGAGAAATTTTGAAATCCAGACTCTCGGACATGCGATTTGCAGCGTTTTGTGGGCCTTTTTAGTAACTCTTTATTGAACAAATTTAAGCGGAATTTAGTACGCAATGCTCACTTGAAGCAAATAATCTCTCACGTTTAAAACTAGTATTTATCAAGAACAATGAGAGTTTACCGTGTACACACGAATATACATTACACCCACTAATGTCATCTAGGCTATTTACTGCTCCAAAAGTGATTGTTCCATCATCCTCCTTGGATGGAGTTCCATAAATGCTCGGCAAATAGTAGGTAGAATCAATCAGTCTTTGGAGAAATCAATTAATATTTCAATATTTGAGGGATAAGAGAAAAAAAAAGGAAGAAGAGCTTAGAAAAATGGGGGGTGGCTAGCCACCCTATTCACCCCCCCCCCCTAGATCCACCCCTGATGACACCTTTACACGGTGACAATAAAATAACGCTACTTTGACTTTGAAGGGAGTGAGGAGGGGAGGGTTTAATTAAGATGCATGGGTAATGGGTTGAGATGTAAGGCCTTGGAGTATGAAACACGTTTGCCATCCATCATAATGGCAACAGTTCAACATCTCAACCCCTGATGAGTATTGTTGGGCTGGGTTTGCCATGACACAAAGATAAATCCATTTATAATTTTATATACATGTATATACAATTACACTCATATATTATACTGRAACTGCAKTTCATACAGGTCCAATCCTTCCTACAACAATAGAGTCCGATTACCCATGCATCTTTAAACACTTATATCTTCACTTAAATTGTAATGATTTTTGATTAGTTTATGAAACCAAAAAATATTTGTGACAAATAGAATATTTCCTCATATAACACTTTTTTATGTTTGCTTCAGCTGAAAAACTGGACGTTTTGTGGCGGTGTTGGAGGCGCAGACTGTAAAGGCAAGGAGGGGAAGTACATTGACTTTGGAATAGAGATGAAAAAGAAGGACGATAAAGCAAAAAGTGAAGAMGACAAAGGAAAAGGAAAAGACGGCAAGGAGAAGAAGCGAGGAAAGAAAATCAAAATGGGTCCTATAGATATGAATTTGCCTGATGCCGTAAGTATATGTAGGGTTACTTCCGGTATTCTTACTTCCGGTTGTCAGAACATTATATATTTGTCACTGCGAATGTCTCATAATTAAAGACTTTGTCTTTTAAGGAAGGGAGGGAGGGAGGATTGCGACGAAACTCCTCAACCCACCTCACCCCAACCCCCCTCCCTCCGCACGCTCCTGTACTGTAAAGCCGTGTAAAATGAGATGTGGTGATATCATGGATGTTGATGAAATATGATTATTAGTCATCATGATTAAAAGTTATTTTTGTTATTGATGTTTTTTTTTATAGGTGGATGTTGATAATGGATGCAGTAAGCTGGCTGAGATAAGCCTTAAGACTCAAGGATCCAAGCAGCTACTTAACCTCCGTTTCCCACGATTCAAGAACGTGATCCTTTATGATCCTTTCCTCACTGGCGATTCGGAAGGAAATGATGGTTCGAGGTTGGCTGCTAACCTCTCCTTCATTTTCATCGCACTCATGGCTGCTTACATCCAACTTTTCTATTAGCTGAAGCACTACTATTTTGTCATTTGTATTCCACGATTTTATTGCTTGCACATATGCACAAGAAATTATCCAAATTGCACAATATTCTATTCTTTTTTTTTTTTTTTGATGCTCGCAAAAACCGCTGATCGCAGCCTAATTTCACAGCGGACTCAAACCATGGAAAATTGCTGATAACAGCTTTTTTTGGATTTCTTTTGTGTTTGCGAAAGAGACCGTCTAAAAAAGCAGGTCAGTTAACGAGATCGTTTTGGATTCGKCAGCGTATGACCTTGTTTTGCATGTTGAATTTTCCTTTTTTTTTTACACCGCTTTTAGTCGTACACTATTTAGTAACTCTATAATAATCATTTGTTCGATGTTGTGTGTAATAGCTTGCTACTCGAGAATTTTCCAGCCGGGTCTACCACAAGCAAAGGTAAAAACACCTTGTAACTTCAGACTAAAATCCAAACTTGTTCCCAGTTTCTTTTCCTGAGATTGACTTGCTAACAGGTACAGTCATATTGACAATGAAACTAGAGACTCACTCAATTTTCATTCAAAGGATAACAACAACAATTTATAATCATCATGCACAATTAGCTTGGAAAAATACTGAATAAAATTTATTCATTTATTATTCGTGAATAAAGAGTTGTCGCAAATCGTAGCATGGTTTTCTTGAGAAGCTTTCGAATCTGACACCGTTGATTTTTCAGTTTCCAATTAAAGTTCTATTTAGTTTTAGACGTTGCCCCCCTCTTTAAGCACATAAGATTATATGCTGTTCCCCCACYCTGGATTCTCGACCTCTCCCCTCCCTTCCTGATAAATATTGCGCTGTCATCAATATGATTTTTTCGGTAAGTAATTTTCCTCGTCTSTTCCTCTATTCTTCCAGCCGTGTTAAAATCGAAAACAAAATACCCGTATCATTAAAGAATAAACCTTAAACAGGTGATTAAATATGAAGACTCCTTTTACAGGGRGCTGACAGTGTCTATTCTACGACGGTTTTCCTATAGGCCAAAATAAAGGGATTTTGAGCTATATTGGCAATCTCATAAGCAAATGTGGCGCCCTACCTTCGGCTTTAAAATAATTTTGCCCCTGGCAAACGTTGTTAAGGTAAAAAAGGCTTATTTAACGTTTTTATGGTCAAAAATGGCTTATATTTTTCTTAGTTAGGAAATTTTTATTTCCTGGCAAAATTTCTTAGAAAGTATTCCTTGCCTARAGAGTTCTTTTTTCCTGAATTTCTCGCTGGCAACCAGTTGTGACTTACAGCTGGCTGGGAYATMAGAACARATATATTTCTCCCAGGAACCCCGTAGGCTCCCATTTTTACCGAGTAAGTTCTACCCAAAACTATGGAAACTCTGTTGAATTAGCAATTTATTTTTGTGAAAATGAGCTTCAAATTAAAGATAAGTCAATAAGAATAAACAAAATCAAGGAAGCCGCGTTATATACAAGGATAAGAATAGTGAATTTGTGCAACTATTATGTACCAGATACTAGAAATATTGGCAATGTAAGAAATATCTAACTTACACCTGTTCACAAAAAGCTGCCATTTACTAAAAGCGAAAAACAAAGTTATTCAGTTACGTCAGGCCCGATGGACCAATGAGAACATTGTTAAGTCGCGTCTGATGATATTATTGGCCAATCGAGTCTGACGTCATCGATCTGTTTCAAAATACAAATTTGAAAAATTAAGTAAATTATTTTCGATGGCAGCCCTGTTATAGCAATACTCCGATTTCGAGTTCTGGTTTGCTCTGTGTTAGCCTCAAAACCACGCAAAATATTCTTTTGTTTCATTGATAGCCAGAGAAAACGCATGGAACTTGAAAAGAAAGACAATGGAATTGATTTAAAATCTCACACTTTTATTCTCACAATTAGGAATATTTTGCGCACAAATGAGGCTATCACAGAGCATTGGAGAATTGGAAATTGGATTATAAGGTGTACACAAATTTTGAAGATGCGTTGTCACATCCGAAAGTCACATCATGTAGACATCACAGTTGAGACCAAAGTGGTTTGTGGGATACTACTAAATAGAAAAATAATTATAAAACAAAAAACAAACAAACAAACAAACAAACAAAAAAACAAGCAAAAAACAAACAAACAAAAACAAAAACAAAAAAACAAGCACACTTGAGCACCATCCACGTTCAGCACCATCCGAATAAAATAAACTTCATTATTATTATTCTAACATTTACTAGTGTCCCATACGCCATTTCGGTCGTTTCTGCTATTATCTGTAATCAATGAGGTACTTTTTGAATGCGACAAGCTTTCTACAAACTGGGATCAGTCATTACCGAATGTACAATAAAAAAGGTTGGGTATATCAGAAGCGAACCATTAAGAATTCATGCAATTGTTAAAAAACAAAAAACAAAAACAAAACGAAACGAAACGAAAAAAGGAACACATCTCGAGCGCGCAAGTCCTGTCAAAGTTGATATAAAAAATTCAAGTTTTGTTTAATGCTGAAATTACGGTTTGCAATTAATGGAACTTGTAGTTTTCCTTTGTTTGTGCTATCAATAGGCCGCGTTCTCCTCAAAATGTGTAAACGTATGAAATACTGGTCAAAAAACATATCTGCTCGAAAGATGAAGCACTTAGGCAATTATGTCTCAATTCCTCGAGCATGTGCTTCAGACTTAATGATTCGCTCAAATTGAAACCCAAAATATAATGCGATTATTTTGATAAATGCTTTGTAAAAAACTATATATTACAACGGAAAATGCAAGAATAAAGCACGGATATTGTTATATTAAGAAGTTGAAATACATTGACAACATTCCTAGCTCGTGGTTCTCACCACATGGCTACCAGTATGAGCAAAGTGATATTAATCTTTATAGTCAAATATTAAAATGTGCGGAGCAACAGATGCTAAAATTTTTGTCGATATTTTTACTTGACTGTTATTATATTTTTGTATTGGACTAAAAGGAAAACATAGAGAAATACTATTAAGATATCTTTGTAAGAAGGAACAGCCATTTTGAAAGGTAACCTAGCCTCTAAGTTGGCGGCCATTTTGAAATATAACATGGCGTCGATTTGGCGTCCATTTTGAAAAGTGGGCTGGTTACCAGTCAAAAAACAATGCCATTATTTCTTAAAATGGCAAAGTGTACCACAATGAAGAGTTTCGATCTACATTTTACAAATATTAATTTACTGGCCTTTGTACGCTATTTTAAATTGTTGTATTTTCTATGTTATAGTGATAAAAAAGCAATATTCTCTTGTCAACATGTTCGCGCTGGCGATAGATCTTTTTTTATCTATATATTTATATATATATTAATCAATTGGATGATAAACCTGCATTATTCGAAGCAGGAAATATAATATTTTTTTTTGGAAATCTACTCGGTGCATTTAATTTTTTGCGTTAAAATTGAAAGTAAAAAAAARRAAAAAAAACATTWAACATGTTTTGAAGCCCGCTTCGTAATCAATTCTGTTCATTTCATTGGACGTTTCCATGAGTACCTGCCGCTTTCTAGAGGCACTAGAATGGCTTGATGGACACCTGTCATTCATTCCATAGCATTCAAATGGCTTCTGTGTCTTGATATAGTCGCATGACTTTGTCTTGTATATCACACGGGAGATTTCTAAAATCTTCATTTCAAATAAATAATTTTTCCTTAAATAAATCGTCTGTGAAACTCGAAAGGCGTGCAATTTTAACCAATTCCCTAAGTGAACCCTAAATTCAAAGCCTGTTTCACGATGATATCTTGGCAGATGGTCAGCAAACTGTCGTGTCCGCCATATATTTCCAGTACGAATGGCGTTCAACGAGTATAAGCTTTAAGCTTTTTTGACGTCTAAATTCGCCGTAGATTTATAAACGTCGGTAGTTTGTCTGAAAGCTCCTCCGAGTGTTGATTCTTGGACCGGAAATACAGATTCCCAAATAGGGATGCAACAAATTGTAATTTTTCAACCTATTGTTCTCCTAGCACCAATCATCGTCCTCGCCTGTATCCTCAAGGCCATATATGGCATAAGGACTTTGACCACTACGTATTGCCATAGCAATATGCTGGTTCATATTTGGCTGATAACCGTTTTCAAGTACCGGGTCACCCCGGTTATCCGGCATTCCTTGTCCTTTTCCCGTAAGGGATAGCTGTGAACCCGATTGGTAGTGTCCAGGATGCATAGGAGGTTGTGGTAGTTGACGCCGTGGAGGACGAGCGTTGGGTGTAGAAACTACGGCTGTTGTAACGCCTGGGCCACGCCCATCGTTTAGTGACGTAGTGGACATTCTTGTTGGTACTCCTGGATGCTGGTAGCCAAGAGTTGGTCTTTGACGATAGTCCTGTGAACAGACATGCATCATTAGAACTCATAGGTTCTCACACGAGATTGCAAATCCTTGCAAGACTTACAAACACTTGTAATCAGTTGCTCTGAACGAGAAAACTTTAAACAGTTTAATTAATGACCATCAATATCAATCAATAACATTCATCACCATCACCGTCACCATCATCATCATCATCATCATCACCACCATCA